CCATTCATGTCCTTGATCTAGGCCCTTGTACTTACCCAGTAAATTGACTCTGGAAATGACCTTTTTCATGCCTGAGTCCCCAGTTCCTCACTCTTCTGGATTATTCTTTATGCCATATTTCATGTTGTAATGGTCCCATCACCAGAAAAGCCTCTGGAGCCCATTTTCAGTTGCTGCTCTCGTTCTCTGCCTGTCCCTTCAAGTCTGAGGAATGACCTGCTTGCCAAATTCCTGGTTTATCTTGCTGTGTGTCTGAACCAGTTGAGCACTCCGCTCCGCTTCCCTTCTCTGACTGGGGTCACGGTGCCTCACACCACTCCACGCATGCAGACTCCCTCTTGCCTCTACATGTGCTCGCTGCCCCCTCTTCTCTGCATGGCTAGTTCCCTTACTGTGTTCAGGTTCTTAACCTCAAGTGTCACCTCCTGAGAAAGGCCTTCCCTGAACTGTGTTTAAATGAGCCATCACCACCCATCCCCAATAGCCTTCTGTATCTGCTAACTCTGATTTTTTTCACCACCTGACATAGTATATATTTACATGGATTTTGTCCCATATTTATCAGGTAGTCATCCAGTAATAGTATTAACCCCATAAGGGCAGGAACTTTGTTTATTTGATTCTCTGCTCTCTGCCCAGAATTTGAACACGTCTGACACATCGCCGACACTCAGTGAACACACGCTAACAGAGTGGGTGTTCCTGAGACCCTTCTCCATCCAGTTCGCCCTGAGAACCCTGAAGCCCTTTGCCTGTCCATCATAGAGAAACATGTCAGTTGTAAAATTGCCCTTCTGATTCATGACTGAGTTTCACTTCATCCCGTCACTGATGAGGAGAGTTCACAGACTCTCGCAAACCCGTTAGCTCTTCCTACCCTAGTTCACAGTGCCGCTGTCTGCCTTCATCCGTAATGAATGTGCACATCATCCGCCGCTGAGCCCACAAGTCGACAAATGTGCTTCCCGTCCCAAAGGAGTAACTGCTCCAAGCGCTTTAGTTCTTTTTGAAAAAAGAAAAAAGTTCCTTATTTCTTTAAAAATACATAATTGCTGCCTCTCCTGAGATATTTTTACATTGTGTCTCTAGAGGAGGAATTCCAGCTGATGGCCCAGTGCAGGGCAGAGGCCCGTAGACAGACAGTCTGGCTCCAATTTATGTTCTGTGCTAACATGGCTAATAGGCGTTAGTATTTTGATATAGAGAAGTGCCGTACTTGATCCTGACTTGGTTAAAAACTGGTGACATCTGGCTGAGAGTCACACATTTAAGGGCCAAGAGTTGTTCATTTTCTTCATCCTCCCTCCCTCCGTCATTCCCTCCCTCCTTCTCTCTCTCTTCGTCTCTCTCTCCCTCTCTCTCCCCCCCCCTCTTAAAATGTCTTGGGAATAGTTTAAGTATTTTAATAGAGCAGTACACAGAGTAAATTGGCAGAAGTTCAGTTTGCACCATGTTAAACTCTGCTGTAGACACTTGGAACGTACTGGAACGGTTATATATGTATAATATGTATCAGAGCTTCCACAAAACTCTGTTGGTGCCCTTATTATCCCGCTCCCCACCCCCCCATCCAAGCTTTCACCGTCACTTCATTTCAGACCCTAAACTCAACACGCACTACAGTTAAACTTAAAAAAGGCAGTAACTCTTGATTCATAAGGTGCCCATAATTCTACAAACATCTCATGAAAATGAGCAAACATCTCTGTATAAAATTTGGGTTCAATCCAGAAGTATGTTTAACTCTCAAACGCCTGATAAAACCATGGGGTTGCAGGCTCTGGTAGCTCTCGCAGGAGTCCGGCCGAGCAGAGGGTGCCCACCATTACACATCCTCACTAAGACCACCTCCCCCAGCTTGCTGATCATCTTTCTTGGTTTCTTACATCTGTGGGTTCTTTAGCTAGAAAAATGTGGTATTGTAATCCGCTTAGATTTAGCTGTCCCAGTGACTTAGTAAGCTGGGGGGAAAAAAACTCGATACTTGAAAGTAAGCCCTCACTAAACATTCTCTTAGAAACAAGATCACCACTTCTTACAGACATGGTTTTCCTTGGCTTGTGGCATGACCGTCCCTAGCCCATCTGTGCCAAGCCTTTGGCATGGCTGACGCACCACCTCCTTTTCAACAGGCCTTGTTCTCTGGAAACCTCAGTAAAATACAGCTAGTTCACACTCCAGCAAACCTCAAACTTTCCCAGTTAACAAATGATATTTTGCCAAAATGCTTACTAAATCCTGGCTCTGAGTAGAATGTGATGTGGGATCACCATAGCCTGAAAAACCAAGGAACGACCCCTTCTAGTGCCGTGGGGCTGCATTCCCGTGGAGTGCTCAGATACAGTTTTCATCATTACCGTACGCTATGCTTACTTGTTAGAGAATTCATGTTGTTGTTTTTTTTAATTGTATTTGCATGCTTATCAGATGCACAAAATGCATTCTTCATGGATTTGCCTATCATGGGTCGCATAGAGTTATGGACTTCAGAAGCGTGGAATCAATGAAAGTAACAATCAAAGAGGAACAGTATGTTTTCTCCCAGCCTCATAAATCTGATCTATAAATGCAAAGAATGTGAGACATAAATATAAGAAATTCAGTAATTTTATTTAAGACTTTAAAAAGAAAAAATTGGCGCATCATAGGAGAAGAATTCAACCAACCAAGTCTCCAGAAGGAAAACCTTTTAAATAGGACGTTTCTGAATCTCCATCTGAAATATATATCTTTAGGGCAGTAATCATCAGAAACATAACGGAGTAGTGTAGAGCTCGGTTTTATTGTCTTGCATCAGTGAACATTCCTCAAAAGCAGAGAGCATCACTAATGGAATTATATGTTTTCATGCTATAATTACATTTGATTTTTCCTGATATTTCTATAGACTTTTTGTTCATGGTCCCATGACTACACAGAATATTTACAAGTTTTCCATCCTCAGCCTATCCACCCCACTCCAAAAGACAGAGACAGAGACTGGAAATAGGAATTCTTGAACAGGAAAAGACAAATGTAGACTTTGAAACAAAATTATTCAGCCTTCAGGGATTTTCTTTCAACAGCAACAAAAACATGAACACCAACAAAAGAAGTAAGGAAAAAGAAGAATTTCACACTTGAAGATAACAGCAAGAGATCCTTCTGAGACACAAAATAGGCACTCCCTGTTTCTGTTTTTATTCTTGAATATTTGTTGGAGAAAATGGAATTTATCTGGTCTTTGGGTATGTTGCTCAAATGATCCTGTCACTGGAAGACAAATGAATCTAGCAGGCAAGTCTGAGCGACTAGAGGACATGATACCAGGATGCCATCAAGTATGTGAACAGTGAACATCTGTTTTTGAAAAGAGAGTCTCTGACTATGAAATCCACAGAAATCTCTAAGGAAGCAATGCAAACAATTAGAGAATTGTGTTGACATCCAACATATCGTTACTGCCCTGTCTTCATCTTCTCCCACATCGAGTCTTCACTTTGCTCAGAACACCTCAGTGACCTCTTTCTTTCTTAGCACTCAATTCCTATTCTCTAAGTTTTAATCACTACGGAATATGAAGCTGACACTCACTTCAAATATGTTTACTCTAGGGTTTCCTCCTCAAAGCATATGGAAGGGAGTATAGGCAGAAAGTTGTTGCCATGTAGGAGTGGGGATGAGGAAGGGCTTCTCCTGCTAAGTGGAATAAGTTCAGGGGTATAAATGAACACAGCTTGGCCTGTTGGGTTGCATATCCTTATCATAAATGGAAGTAAAGTTAACATTAATTTCCCCAAGTTTGAATACATTTTTTTGAAATGCCATTTATTAGAACATTGAAAACACAAGTTTGGTTCTCTCTCCTCAAATCCCTACAATCTGGCTCCTGGCCCAGCCACTCAACCCAAATCACCCTCTAAAGTCTTCCAAAATAACTTCTCAGCCAAAACCAACAGTATCCTTCTAGACTTGTCAGCTTTATTCAAAACCATATTCTTCTCCCTGCTAATACTCATTCTGGTCTCAAATTCTGAGGCTTTGTCCCTTCCAGGTTTGCTAGTTTCTGTATCTCCAGAGGCATACCTATTGCAGTCCTCCTTTAGAGATCATTTCACCCACCATCATTTCAAGCACAATGTTTGTGCATGAATTACTTCCCAGCCCCATCCCTAAACTCTCCCTACTTTTCAAAGTCTTACACCTCTGATGCCAGGCTGTCAACTCTGGTTAATCATGGTAAAGTACCAACTTTGGTCTTGGTTCTCAGCTCGTTGCTGCTAGATAATATCTCGGTTTCTGTAGACAAGAATTAAGTCACTTGCCTCCTTACTGAGTCCCTTACGGTCATTAAACTTTTAAACATTATGTATTTTCTACTTAGATTACTTTTACTGGATTAATGTTCCTTTAGTTATCCTCAACCCTACCCTCTTAATCTCTAGTCAGATGCCGGTTAGACCACGCTGTATGCATATTCAGATAAATGTTGCCTGTCGATCAAAGTGCAATTAATAATTGAGTGGTGGTTTTACCATGTTCCACCAGCTCTTCCTGGCCCACCTTCAGATGATATTTTTCTGCCCCCGTCTTGCAGACACCCAGAAGTCCTCCTTTTCTCCTTTACCTACTTATTATCTGTTATTCTTGAAGGATGGCCTTTCCTCTTCTGTACAAGTCTGCTCCAAAGGACTTTCCATGGAGTACCTATAAACCGGGTCCTGTGAACTAGCTTGCTTCCTACTTCCTCCTCACGAACATATAGATGTATGTGGAAATGTCTTCCAAGTTGTCTTGATGTGTGTATGAATTCCTGTAAATTCACAGATGTATATTGAGTGTGGTTTGGATTATCCTTTGGAAAGGCAGCTTTTTAGATCATTGGGAAATCTTTTGGATCCTAGGTAAAAATCCATACAGTCTACCCACCCCCACAACCCCCAAAAATAGGCACTTAAGATATTCTTAATAGTAAGTGGTTACTGAAATTTTACCTCATTCTATGTGTATTTCCTTTTCAGGATCCCCCCATGGCTGTAACCCTGGGACTCCGAATGGAGGAAATGATTTTTAATCTTGCTGATACACATTTATTTTTTAATGATTTAGAGGTAAGAATTGAAAAAGAAAGGAATAGTCATATCCCAACTATTATAATGCTTAGATGGTTTCTAAATAGGCAGATAACCTCAAGAAATCTGAAAAATACTTAGCTCAAGAGCATAGCAAAGTTTCTGTCAAGGGGAAAAATGTATATACAAATATAAACAAAAGCTAACTTGCGCTAATGAATTCTGCCTATTTACTGGCACCTGTTTAAAACAAAAGTATCTCAGAAGAGGAGAAGCTCTGCTTTGCTGTCCCTCTGGACAACCCATTGGGCACCTTTGGAGTCAACATTAGCTTTTCCAGGTTCCTAACCAGAGTATTATTTAGGTACTAATCACTGGGTACTATTCATGGTGCTGGCATGGGTCATTAAGTTTTGTAGATAATCTGAAGCCTAATTTTAGACAACATTATCATTCCTTATTCCTCTGCATCTGGATAAAACAGTGCTAGAGCTGTTTACATAGCACATCTGATTGGTTGCATTGCATTTTTCTTTTGTTCTCATTTATCTTTTCATTTCCAAGCTCAAAGGGAAAGTAAAAACAATAACAAGTTGAAAGAACTCCCCCTCGCTCAAGACCGCTAAATAAGTACTGTAATAAGGTATATAATCTGGGTGCTAATGATCTGAGTTATTAGGCATTCAGATGGTAAAATTTGAAGTAACTGAGTAGCTGAGCACTGAGCAGAAGTACTTCTCAATCAAGTGCAACTGTGGTGAAATATTTTTTAAGTGACATATTTACATTTATTTTTTACCCAGTGGTTTCACAATGAAATAAAAGTATCTATCTATAATCCTATTATAAATGGAGAGGGAGATTATTATTGCTGAAATCCCACCTTGTGCAGAACATTTTATATTGGATTTTCCATTAATTGAATAATACCCTTTGAAATAAATTTGTTTACCACACTATTTTTGTAGAGGAGAAACTGTAGGTCCCACAAGCATAAAAATCATGTCTAAGGTTACCTGCTAGCTAAGTGGTAAAACTGGGATTTGAAACTCTGGAGTCTCTCTGGCTCCAGAGCACATATTTCTGACCCCATACCATGCTGAAATTAACAGAAGGATGTGAGAAAGAAAAGCTAAATTAGTCAGTGTCTTAAATAACTTTTAAAAATTGACAAGGTCTTAAATCCAGTTTCAGCTGCACCTGAGACATAAGAGTAAAAATTCTGTTTTTTAGTATATCCCATAAATGTATGTGCTGGAAATCTGGGTAGTATCATTTTTTTGGTGGTGTTTTCTCTGCAGTGAGTCACTGTTTTTACTGGATAATAAAATTACTGTCTGTTTAAAGAGGTTTTATTTGTTTTCTTTAATGGCCAGTATGAAAGATCAGTATTCCTCGGCAAGTTTTCCAGTTTTAGATAATAAGAAAAAATAATCACCTCTCTAAAACCTGATTTAAATTAATCATGCAACTTATTAGTAGGGTAGTATACAGAATGACTTTATATATACATTATAATAGAAAACACATTTTAATCTTTTTGGAACTTGAATTTTTATATATGGCGATAACTTTTAGGTTGGTTTTTCTCTTGGTTAAGATGGATGAGGCTCATTTTTCTAAAGAAAATTCTAAGATTACTCATCTTTTTAAACCTGTAAAAGACCCCAAAAAAATTTTATGTGATTTTATTCAGGTTTTAGAGTTTTTATTTCATTTCATTAATTATTTTTTACTAGAAATAAATGGGATAAATGACCTTTTAGCTTTTTAGTGGCACATTAGGAGCCAGATGGAGTAAATTTACCACCCAACTTTTCACAGAATAGTAAAGTGAGAAAGCGAGAGTAGCATATGATGAATTTGCAAATACTTTTAGCAAGTTTGACATGAATATTGGGATATCAGAAGCATGTGGTCAGTCATGGTGCTTTAAGAATTTTTATCTTGAATTATGTACTATATAAAATATATTTTCAAAATACCCTACAGGATCTCCGGTAAAAATGATAACTGAGAAAATATTGGTATTGACTTTCTCTTCTGATTATAGCTTTTTAGTTATGTTTTAAAGTGTGCTAAAAATTCCATTTGACTCAAGCACTCCAACTTAGTATCCAATAAAAATACCTTAACCAATGAAATGATTGAGTTACCTGCATGTAAATTGACTGAACTCTCATATGTGCGCACACACAGATGAGGTGCCCAAGGGAACTGAAAGGCTTATTAGTGACTTTAGTGAGATAAACAAGCATGAAAACAAATAAAATCTAAACAGTAGCTTTCAAGGTCATTCAGTGCTGTTACATATATATCCACGATCCTTCTACATCTCATTTTGAAAGTCAACTTGTCTTTCTCCCCATTTTTTATTTCAGTAAACCTCTGGTAAGCAAAGATTGTCATGGGCTGCAGACTGGTGTTAAGCTATTTCTGCTTCTGCTAACAAAGAGGCAGATTCCTCAAGAGAGTAACTCCATCGTTAGCCTTTTTTTTTTTTTTTTTTTTTTTTGCTTCTGTATTTAATCTCTCAGGGTTCCTTTTCTTAACCCAGAGCTCTAATTTGAGACTCAAATCCTTCAGTAGATACTGTAACATATGTAGTAGCAGCTGCTTTCACATAATTCCTTAAAAGATACAAATTTAAATCCTAATAGACCCTTCGCTGCATCCTGCCCAACTGCAGGGAGGCAAATGCTCACATTACTCCTCCTAATAAGAGAATGCTGTCTGTTGAAATAAAAATGTTATTTCAGTTAGAATAACTTCCAGAAAAGAAGACACTGGGGAGTTCAGGTTCACAAAGGTGAGAGAAGGCTGCTGTGTAGATTATAAGTGATAAAGATCAGTGACAACTTCATGGTCACCGCGCAAGACAAAATTAAGTAATTTAAGATTAATAACAGAATTAGTCCAAATGTTTGAGTCCTTATACTGAAATTTGTTGGAGCCAGGCATTGCACTGTTTTTAGTATTTCAGGTTTTGGTCAAAAATAATTCTTGCAAAATTCCTCTGAGTGAAAACTAATTGAAGAACAATTATTTGGAATTTTCTAAAAATGTAAGTGATTGAAGTTCATATTTCTTTCACTGGACTGTAATCCTCAGGCAAGAGTCCAGAGTCAACAAGCATAGTTAAATAGGCATGAATTTAAAGAGAAGTTCCATTTGGAAAAATCTCAAACACAACTTCAAATATGGAGCTCATGTTCCAATAAGTTTGATATACTGATGTCCTCAGGAGTAAAAAAATAAATTTAGGGGCAAAGTATACAAATTAATCATGTGAGTTAATACTTGAAATGTCAGAGGAATTTCTCTACAAATTAGGATGAGAAGGTATGAAATCTAGAAATAACTTCTAATTACCAGAGTCATTCGTAAGTATTCCCCCCTCTTTTTTTTGGATATTTATTTATTTATTGTCGTTTATTATAAAAGAGGGAGATGGAAACTATTTACATAATGAAAGATTTCAAAACTTGAGTGGGATGAACAGCTTCACATGATGCCACTTTGATAGTAATTTACTTCCATCTTCATACTTACCAAGAATGTCACCGTCTCTAATAAGGAATAAGTCTTGTTGTCTAGAACACTCTGTTGCCTCCCTATTCTGGGAGAACTTTATTTCCAGTTTTCATGCTAATGATCAAATCTCTCCAACCTTTCCTTTAGAGCCCAATCCAGTAGCCACTACTGTTGCTTCCCATACTTTTCCCTGAGATTTTTCTGGAAGCATAATGCCTCCTTTGGTTAAAGTTTGGGCTGTACTCCTTTCCACCCATACTTAGCCAAAATGGGGTAAGCGCTTTCCAAGTGCATGTCCCGCCCTTACACTCCTGCAGCCTTGGCTTGTACCCCATTCTCCCCCAACTCCCCTCCACTCTTGATATAAATATCTCTTACAGTCCTTACCACGTAGGATTGCAATTAATATAATTGCAACTTTGTGTTAGAAAATGTAAATGATTGTGGTAATTTTGTCAAGAACTGTCATTTGTCTAGATATCTGGCATTTAGTCAACAAAGAATTGCTGAGCGATTACCGTGTGCCAGATTGTGCCTTAAGCGGCGGGGGGGGTGGGGGGGGGGCAATATCCAGGTGACCCAAACACCCCCCTCAGGGAGCCTCCAGTCAGATTAACTTTTTGGAGCCCTTCCTTACCTAGGAGTATTGGTAGACATTTATGCTAAAATTACTAATTTATGTATAATTTATGTAAATCATATGAACTTTTATTTCCCTGGATTTTCAAGTTACATACTAAAATTGTATTAATTGGGCTACTTTTATACTTTACATTTTAAAAGAAGCCCAAATCAGCTAGTCAACCTCAAACCATAAAAGGTTCTAATATATTCAGTGTGGAAAGCTGGAGATGAGATATGAAATATTTCACTACCAAATAGTTTCCAGGTCCTATAATGAATATAAATAGTAGCTGAAAAGCCCTTGCTTATTAGTATGGCATCTTCTTGTCAGAGTTAATAATTTTTTAAAAAGTGATTTTCAATAGTAAGCACTATGTTATGCAGTCAGGATCTGTGAGTATCTGAAATAATTTGCAGGGAGAAGAAGAGGCCCCAAAAGCTAAACCATACTTATCCTAAAGTCAGTAAGTACTAGGTATTTTAAATACCCTAGCCAAATTCCACCTTCAGATCACATACTATTTCATTAGAACTTTGCAGATTATTTGAAGATAGAATAGGACCCTTAGAACAGCAAAGAAGAATTTACTTCTTATCTAGAAAAGTAACCGTTTGCTCTGAGAACACTGTGATTTCAGTCATACCAAGTGTATGGGTGTATGTACCTAAAGTTTATTCTCCTCTGAGTTTGTAGCACATTGGAGATGGTAAATCTTCATTATTTCCCTTTTATTTGTAAGTATCATTTTCAGCTTCAAGATTTCAAAACTTGAATAAGAGGAATAAAAGATACCGACTTCCATGGTTATTTAGCTTTTTTTCTGTGTTAAAAGACCAGGACTTTTATCCTTAACATATATTGCATTATTTGTTTCAGAGGTACAAATCTGAGATTCAACAGTCTTGCACAATTCACAGCGCTTACCAGAGCACATACCCTCCCCAGTGTCTATCACCCAGTCACCTCATCCCTCCCACCCCACCCCCCACTCCAGCAACCCTCAGTTTGTTTCCTGAGATTAAGAATTCCTCATATCAGTGAGGTCATATGATACATGGAGGGCACGTTCTGCATGGAGCACTGGGTGTTACGCACAAACAATGAATCATGGAACACTATATCTAAAACTAATGATGTAATATATGGGGATTAACATAACAATAAAAAAATATGGTCAAAAAAAAAAAAAAAAGACCAGGACTTTTAGAATAGCATCAGCATGGTTCCTTCATGGTACCCCTGGCCCAGCAAAAGGTAGGAAGTCTAGAAATCTCACAGGACACCATAATCATCAGGCCCCTCCATAGCTGCTGAACAAATAGCAAATAATAGTAACCACCTGACGTTCAACCACACAAGTTCTGTGTATCTTCAGATTAGCTTTGTTTCCATATTTAAGTATACGCAACAGAAATGGCTAAAAGTGAACACCAGTCATTCTTAAAAAGATTCAAAAGATAATTTGTTATCCATAATTTTCAGAGTAAACATTAATTTTAAGCTGCTCGAAAGAAATGCACATGTCATATGTTTTCAGACTCCCTTTTATGGTACTCTTCTGGATTTAAAATAGAAATGCTGCCATTTCCCCAGTTTGTCTGTGGGATAGATGGGCAAATGCTGCCACCTTCTGGCCATGGTCTGAAATGGAAAGATGGAAAACCCCAAAACCACACAGGCATCCTTTGAAAAACAAGTAACTTTTCCGATGTTTTTAACAGGAGTGTGATCAAGTTCATATAGATGATGTTTCCTCTGATGATAATGGGCAGGACTTAAGGTAAGCCATGCCTTTCAGTATGCTCTTTCCTACAGAAATTCAGCTATGGAGTTTTGCACCTGTAATTATTTCTTTTATTTCTTTTTAATGTATTTTGGGTGTTGCAGTACCTACAGTTTTGCAACTGATGGCTTCCATGCAGCTGCAAGTAGTGCAAACCTTTGTTTGCCAACAGGTGTAAGAGGAGGGGTTGACTGGATGAGGAAGTTGGCTTTTCGTTACAGAAGAGTAAAAGAATTATACAACACCTACAAGAACAATGTTGGAGGTATGTGTGGCTCTTTAAATCTAATAAAGATACTGTAGAGAGAAGTAGGATCTGACCTGTAGTTCTGTGTTCCGTGTTAGAGACTACTCTAGTAGAAAAGAAGTTACTAAGAGCTCCTTTTGAACTCCCCTGAGTCAGAATCTTAAGTTTCTTAGTTGGGGGGGGGGGGGGGGGGAAGTGTAACTGCAAAATAAAACATGTGGCTCTGCCAAAGGAATTGGGAATTCTCTGTGCCCAGATGTTTGGTCAAGATTTACAGCAGGACATGGGAAGTTTACCCCTCTTGTGCAGATACAATTCATGCAAACCAGACAGGGGAACTCACTGAGGCAATGGGAAGACCTGCCTAAAAGCAAAGGCCCCAGTCGTTAGAGCAGAGTGGTTAGTCCTCATTATCTTTCTGGAATCCTGTCCAAAATAAATATAAACAGTGCTGTATGTCATTTCAAAGACTTAAGCAAGACTGATTTTATTTTTTAAAAAAATTGCATGTTGTCTGGCAGTATATCTTTTATCTTTTCCATGTATAGTATTAACTGTGATTATCATGGTTTTTAAATGTTCAGATACTCTGTAGGTCGAATCTGAACTATTTTACTTTCATCCATATATTAGAGGTGATATCACAACCTGTGACATCAAAACTAAAATCCTGGATACATTTCTTGATAAAATAAACCTTGGTTATTTCTATTATTAGGATCAATTTTATGTCAGCAAGATCCTAAGATTAGCTATGAAGTCACATAACATTTTTCTCCCAGGGTTTTCTGTTTGTTTCTCTCTCTCTCTCTTTAAAGAGTGGTTTGAGGAGCTTAAATCAGAATCTAAAATTGAATGATAAGTTAAATACACTTATGCATACTATATGTATGTATGTTTATATCTTATCATAGAATACAGTGTAGTAAGTAACATTTTCATCTATGGTATATATATTACACACACCACACACATCTTGAGGCGGGGGCTGTGTGTCTGTTCATCTTGTATCTCCAGTGTCTAGTGAGCCTTAAGGTACATAATAGGTGTTCAGTAGACGCTCAGTAGCTATAAGAGAATAAAAAACAGGTAGGGGTGCCTGGCTGGCTCAGTCAGTTAAGTGTCTGCCTCCCGCTCAGGTCATGATCTCAGGGTCCGGGGACCGAGCCGCACGTTGGCTCCCAGCTCAGTGGGGAGTCTGCTTCTCCCTCTCCCACTGCCTCTCTCTCTGCTTGTGCTCACTCTCCCTCTCAAATGAATAAATAAAATCTTTAAAAAAATATGTAGAACCATAGGCAATAGCAATATTATTATTATGGTTGTTAGAACTAAAAAGAGATCTTAGAAATAGGAGATCTTCATTTCCAAATGAGAAAGAGGCCCCTGCAGGACAGACAACTCCAGTTTCCTAATTCACTCCAATGCTCTAGGTAAGACATTTGTAAAATCAGACAAACAGATATTCCATTTAAATTCAGTTGTGGGTGGGGGGCCTGGGTGGCTCAGTCATTAAGCGTCTGCCTTTGGCTCAGGTCATGATCCCAGGGTCCTGGGATCAAGCCCTGCATCGGGCTCCCTGCTACGCTGGAAGTCTGCTTCTCCCTCTCCCACTCCCCCTGCTTATGTTCCCTCTTTCCCTGTGTCTTTCTCTGTCAAATAAATAAATAAAATCTTAAAAAAAAAATAGAATAAATTCAATTGTGGGTAACATGTTTAATTTTAAAATAAATATCCCCTTGAGAAATCTGAAATAATTTTTATTTAGGTATGGCATTGTTCCCCTCATGAAGGGTATTAAAGTTATGTAAAAACTAACAAGATTACTAATAAATAATATTATAGCTTTAAAAGTTTAAGTGCTGACATGCAAGTCCATTTTCTGTACTCTGTTAGCATCCCTTTATTGAAATAAGGACAAATGAGAGTTGCCAGAAACTATACATTTTGATTTTAAAAATCATCCACCTGTATATGTGCTCCTAATATTCTGAAGTACGATTTAAGTAAGAAACTTCTTTTTAGCAGATTTGCATGATTTTGTTTTATCATAAAACAAGGACTTTTTATTTTTATTATTTGGTTTTTTGTTTGTTTATTAACTAAGCTCCATGCCAAGCATGGAGCCTGATGTGGGGCTCGATCTCACAACCCTGAGATAAGGACCTGAGCTGAGATCAAAATGCTCAACCGACTGAGCCATCCAGGCACCCCATAAACAAGGGTTTTTTAAATAAAAAAATTAGTATGCCTACTTTTTTTCTTATCCAAACATCAGTGCAGTTTTAACCATTGTTTATAAGTGTGTCATATGCTTCCGAATTTTAAACACAATTCTTGTAACTTCTTTTTAAAACGGGGAGTATTTGTGATAGCTTCAGCGCTGGTAGGTGCATATGATAATGTCAGTATTACTGGTTAAAAGTGGTAATGATTGTGATTATCAAGAAGTGAAACATTATGGGGGTGCCCGGGTGGCTCAGTTGGTTAAGCGACTGCCTTTGGCTCAGGTCATGATCCTGGAGTCCCGGGATCGAGTCCCGCATCGGGCTCCCTGCTCAACAGGGAGTCTGCTTCTCCCTCTCCCTCTGACCCTCCCCCCTCTTGTGCTCTCTCTCTCAATTAAATAAATAAAAATCTTTAAAAAAAAATGTGAAACATTTTCAGACCACCGGAGTGTTTGAGGTTTGTATCCCTGGGCTGGTCGACCCCAGCCTCTTCTCCAGACCTATCCTATCACCGTCTTTTGGGGTGGGACCCCGGCACAGGAGTGGTGGAAGCTCCTCGGGTGATTGCGTCCACTGTGCCAGATTCTAGGTTCAGTGAGAACAGAGGCTGGGACCCACTTTTTCACTGTTTCATCCCCACTGTTTGGCCCAGGACCTGAAATCTAGAAGTTGTTCAATAAATGTTTGAATGAATGAATGGATCATCAGTTCTTAAATGAAAGATCACTATTGATATAAATCAGTCTCTCTCTCTTTCTCATATGATCTATCCTAGACAGAAGGGAGACCTAGACAAGGTATTCCTGAAATTTGTCATCTCTTGATTCTGCCTTGTTTTTCGGTTGCAGGACTCCTTGGCCCTGCCAAGAGAGATGCATGGCTACAGTTAAGGGCAGAGATCGAAGGTCTGACAGACTCCTGGCTAACAAATGCACTTAAATCTTTATCAATTATTAGTACTAGGTAAGTGGTATTGTTTCAGTTTCTGTATTTGTTGTATTGAAGATGTAGTTGTAATAGTGCAACATATATACAAATTCTTTAATTACTAGAGTATTTTAGAATTTCAAGGGACCCCACAATTCACTGAAGCAAGTGATTTTCAAGGTGTGTGGGGGAGGTTTTTGGGGTAGAGGATGGGAGTTGCAGCTTCTCAGCAGGAGATCCCTTATCTTTACCCTCCTTTCTATATAACTACTGATAATCTCCACAGGAAGGTCATGTGGCTTGAATAAAAAAAGAAAAAAGAAAAGACAGCACCCTGTTAGTGGCAAAGTACAGGAGATGATGAAAAAAATAAAAACAATTTACACAGAGTGCATCTTTTTAAGTGTTTTGGCCCACTATAGATAATATGCATAATTTATTTATTTATATTTTAAGATTTTATTTATTTATTTAACAGAGAGAGACACAGCAAGAGAGGGAACACAAGCAGGGGGAGTGGGATAGGGAGAAGCAGGCATCCCACTGAGTAGGGAGCCTGATGCGGAACTCGATCCCAGGACTCTGGGATCATGACCTGAGCCAAAGGCAGATGCTTAACGAAGGCAGATGCTTAACGACTGAGCCACCCAGGCGCCCCGATAATATGCATATTTAAATGCAACAAAATCCCTGGTGAAAGCTCTTTGAAAAACTTGTAACCTTTGTGTTGTTAGAACTGAACAGTGAAATACTGACTTACTAGTGTAGATAATAGAACTGAATAGACTTATAACTAGCTGAACACCATGTGCCATAAATGCTAGTTGATGAAGTGATATAAATCTGGAAAGTGATAGCTACTTAGGGTGGGGATGAATCTCTATACTATCCCATTCCTTAATTTTATTTCTGAGTTAGGTGGATAAATAAAAGCATGCATAGCCAACCTGTGGGTAGCACAAATTCAGAGGAAGAGGTAATACTTGGACTGATTGAATCTGGATACAGAAAGCCTCAGTGGGGTAAAAGGAGAATCCAGGGTTAGAACATGGAAGTTAGCGTGTGTGCATCCAGTCCTCCACGTGGCTTCCAGCCACCATGTAACCAGCAACTACACTGATGTCGGAAACTGTAAGGGGTGGATGGAGGTGGCTAGGAAGCTACAAGTTTCCTGGGTCAGGCTGGGGAAGCCAAACCAGAGCACTTCACTCAGTTCTGGGCACCACATTCCAACGGGGGCGTGGCATATTCAACATCTTAAGTCCAGCAAAGTGGCAAGAAGGGTTTTAGGCTGAGGATACCACATGAAAGGAACAGTTGGAGGGAGGAGCCAAGGAGTTTCGTCTGAAGGAGAGTCCTATGTGAAACATCCTGTGTGAAACAAGATTACCAGTTTCAACTGTTTGAGATGTTAGGCTGAAAGTAAGTTACATTTCTCTCTGTGATCTGTAAAGGAGAAAATTAGGATGGATGTGTGGGAATCCTAGGGAGGAAGTTCTGGCTCTATGTAAGGAAGAACTGTCTCACAATTGAAGCTGTTTTAAAATGGGACTTGCTGGCTTGTGATCTGTAACTGGTGATATGGAGACAAAAGTTCAAGGAAGCTAAGATGTGAGGACTCCTGAGTCCCTGAAATTGTGTGTAAAATGTAGTAGAATGTACATTTCTCTGACAAGGAGGTCAGCAGCTTTCATTATTTCTAAAAGAAGTCTCCTAGATGCTTAAAAACCAAGGGTTATTACAGTGTTATATAGATTATATACGTGTTGTCCATGATATAGAGAGAGTATTATTACACACTGGCCTTAAAGCAACTACATGGGTATGTGATTTTAAGAAGCCAAAGTGTAACAAGGAGAAAGGGAAAAATAAGTCATTACACACTGGAGATTAGAGTGCCTTGAGATTTGTCAAGTCATCCACATGTGGGACCCTACTGGTAATTTTTACAAAATGTCCAGGAGAACAGAAGCTTATACAAAATGTGGCTGAATTCTGTATCCGAGCCTTTAGCTAAGTTTGTACCCTCCAGCTCTAATTCTTCTCCTGTGAATATAGTTGAAGGTCATAATCAAATGTGTAGGAAAATTTTCTATGTCACACATTATTGATAATGTTTAGAAGTCAAACCATCTTAAGTGAGCTAACTTTAAAAAAACGATGCTGCAGCCACATGTGGTTTTCACACATTATATTTTGTGCGGAAAGGAGGACTAATAGACAATATGACATAAGTGAATAGGGTCATGATATAAACAAGCAAAAAAAGAAAAAAATCATATGTATATTGTGGTACTAATGAGGGAAAGTATCTATACACAAATTCTGAAAGTAAACACACAAGATGGTGAGAGCAGTTACTTTCCGCTCTCTGGATAGCTAAATAATTGATGCTTTTCATGTTCTTGATATTTGCCCATATTTCACAAATGTATATACATGTAAACCTATAAATATATGCAGTGTTTGTAATTAGAAGTTACAAAGCATTATAAATTGAATATTAAATATATGCAATGCTTATAATTTATAAATCTGCAATTTATAAACATGTGCAAAGTTTGTAATTTAAAGAAGAAATGATATAACTCCAAGTATCACTCAGTATCAGTGGTACGGCTAGATTTCAAAATATTACTTCAATACAGTAATGTGCTTGTGTATTATGCTTAATAATCTGCCATCATTCGGGGAGTTTCTGTCTGATAACAGGCAAATCACCTTCTAGGTCTTTATTGTCTTATTGGCCACATTAAGGATTACATTGGTGATACTTAACTAAACTTCTACCTCTAGAAGGCTTTGTTTCTTTATCCCATCTAAGTGAGAACCTCATCGTGTGCTTCCAGAAATCAGAGCTCCCATTACAAAATCAGGTTATCTATGGAAATAATTTAGAAATGAAAAGGTTTTAAAAGCCTGTAATTATAAAGGTTTTATCATTGTTTTTGAATAAATTACAGTTTTTCTTTACACAGGATATGTCTAAAGAATATAAAGCATAATATTAAGTATACTGGGGGGTAAGCATATACATACCATGAAAAGTTGGCACCCAACTTGCTCTTCTAACTTCCAACCAGGCTTCTGATAATCAATCTAGAGATTTCCAGAGAATATTTTTGAGGCTCTCACTAATATGTATTAAAGGTTCGTGCTACAAAATACCAGTAGAGAAAGGTCCCTACCTATATGCCTTCTGAGTTCCAATTTGATGTGTGTGGTTTGAGCCCCTCAAGGCAGGATGGCTCAATTTTTCCATAATCCAGAAGGAAGGACCACAGTCCATTCTTTCCAGATCTCTGCCTCACAGTTGCCACTCTCTTGGTGTTTCCTTTATCTCCCTGCAATATTGCTCTGAAAGAAACAACTGTAAGTTGTAAAATGGGACATTTTCACTCTCAAAGAGTAGGGCCTTTGTAGATGGATTAAAACTGAACCCATTAAATGCAGTTTGCTCTTTGTTGTTGTTAAGAAGGAGATTCAGGGATTCACCTCTTCCGGATTAAATAAGGGTCCTCTCCATTCTTACTTCTTCAGGATCCCCATCTGAAGAAGTGTTCTTGATTGGAACACTGGACTGTTGCTCTCACAAAATCCAAAAACTCCTTTTACGCATCCCATCACTTTCTTTCTGCCTATGACTACTACTTTTCCAGGCTCTTCTAACCCTGGGACATAGAATCTTACCACCCTAAAAAATACCTCGTCTGGATACTTGTAAAACTTAGAGCTAAACTATCCCTCTGATAACCTTCCCATGATTGCTGTTGGCGGAGGTAGGTGTTCTTCTCTGAGGTTCCACAGAAGCCTAAAGAGGAGATCTTTATTATAGAACATATTTCATATTGCAGGTGTCTACTTCCTTGTCTCTCTCCTATCTATCCTGTGATCTGGGATGCAGCGGGGACAAAAATGTCATTCATCCATGACTTCTTTTTGCCTGTCTTCTTCCGCTTCTCCCATTTTGGGATGTATTCCTAGCCCCTGTCATGGTGTCTGTCAGGTAGCAGGCACTCCGTAAATAACTGTTGACATTTAAAGGTTAGGTTATCAGGGCCCATTTGTTATGGAATTGAAAGACCCCAGTGACCATTTAAAATCTGCACCATTAGAAATTATTTAGTATTAGAAAACAACAATGCGTATTTCCTCCCTATCGTAGGAGTAACTGCGTAAATGTCTTGGTAACGACAACCCAACTGATCCCAGCACTCGCGAAGGTTCTACTCTATAGTTTAGGAGGTGCTTTCCCCATTGAGAATATTTACAGTGCAACTAAAATAGGTAAGAAAATTCTTTCTAACTCTGTATGCAATGTGTTCACATCTGTGTCTTGGGGGATTTTCTTAATATGTCTCTCTGCATGATCCCTCTTTAATCAGTTTTGCTATTACAATATCACGCAAATTTGAACAGAGCTCAGATAACAAAGGAGCCTGTGACTCATTGTACATATGCAAATTTTATGAAAACTGTTGCCTAATGAAATTCTGAATTCAGTCTCTGGACAATTCTGTTTACTTATTTATGTATTTGTATTTATCTTTCATTACAGCACCTGTTTTCTAAGTAATAGAGTGTCTTTGGCCTTGGTACTTAATATCTTAGTTAGTATGGTATATGGTATTGCATCTTTGCAGATGCGATAATCTAGATCTAAGATAAAAATACTATGTTGGCATTACAGGGGAGTGCCGGGTAGATGGAAGTAGCATCCTTTATTCCAGAAAAAATAATCTCATGCATTATAACTCATGAATGCCTGGAAATCCACATTTCCAACAATGTTCCATAGTAATTAAAGATCTACAACCTTGTTTATTTGCTTACTATCTGTCTGCGGAGCCATTTGTGACTTGAAGTGCCTCTCACAGACTACGTCTCTAATCATCTTTCAAAAACAGAGCTTCCTAACCTCTGCCATCCTGAAAGAGTTAAAAGAAAACAGCTCGCGTATTGCACTGTCCTGTCAAGGAAATGCCTGGGGAAATAGGTTGTATAATGTGCCCTGCAGGTCAGCAAACTTGGGCTCTGGCACCTTGACAAGAGCTCAGAATCCCAAAATCCCCTACCAAAAATAACGTGTCCTGGGCCTCGCAGAGTTTCAATATTGGCACAAGCTAAAAAGAGCCCCCAGTTGCAGCTGTTTCAGGAGTATAGTTAAAGAGAGCCTCTACAAGCTTTCCTAATGTAAATTCCACATTGTCCTACGCACTACAGCTCAGAGCCCTGATGCCAGTCCCACTCATTCATTACAGAAATGTATGTATTTATGCTGGCAGGATTAACCTGTCACACTTTATTTTGCATTTTGACATGTCAAGTAATTTTACACCAGCATATAAGCATTTCTTCTAGCAAGGACGATATTCTTTTTTACTGGCCAAATTGTTCCTCATATTTAATCTGAAAAAGCAATGATTTTTATTTTTCCCTTTAAGCTAGTTTTTTTTTTTTTTGAGTTCTGAACTATCAGATTAAGAAAAAAATGCAAAAAATAGCCATAACTGCATGAACATTCTGGGAATGAAATTCAGAGAATTATGCCAATGTTGTAAAATGAAGAACATGTAGAAATTCCACCGTGTTACTCCCATAGTGCAGTCAGAGGAGACAGGTGTCCACAGTGCTGTGGCCGACAGCACCCTTAGTACAATTAATCTGAGCAGACTAGCTCCCAGCCACTTGAAGAAAGGCGTTGTTTATCAAGGTAAATCCACATCTTAGTATTTCCTCCTTCCTTACAGGTGAACCTTCAGTTTCTTACAATAATGTTTCTAGCTGACTTGTCTGTACTACCTGAACTAGATAAAATTGATACACAGAATTAAAAAAAAAATGTCAAAACTCATAGCTGCTTGTAAAGTTGTTCCAGTATTCTTTTGGTGGTGTAAAAGATGCTAACATTTTCTCTGGGTCAAATGCTTAACCCTATTGACTTTTTTGGAGTGTGAAACACATTTGTTCAATAATCTGTCTCAAGTAAAGACTTAACATTATTCAAATGTGTTTGTTGATTTCATAAACCCAGAAATTGCAAGCTAGCTTAGGTGATCGATGTTCAAGAGAAATTAACCTAACACTTTATGAATCTTTAGGTTAATGAATGCAATGGCTGGAAGAATAAGCAGTGCATTGTTTTTCAGGCAAGGAAAGCTGTTTTGAGCGTATAGTGTCCAGATTTGGCACTAACATAACTTATGTTGTGATTGGAGATGGCCGAGATGAGGAGCATGCCGCTAACCAGGTAACTTCACTCTGAACTTTATCTCATTTATCTTCCAGGAAAAGAAAGTTGCTTTGAACGAATAATGCAAAGGTTTGGCAGAAAAGTAGTATATGTTGTAATTGGGGATGGTGTAGAAGAAGAACAGGCAGCAAAAAAGGTAACCTGTCTCAAACAATGTTGGCGTGATACTTTTAATGCAAGCTTTTGTGTTTGCATTCCTGTAGTTTGGCCCAATGGCAGCTTGACAAATGATTTAAATTTATAGATGTAAAGCAGTAAGAGCATGAGAAGGTCAATACGTACATTCAAATAAACCATTTGGAGTCTAGCATTTTTTTTGCCTGAAATTCAATAGGAAATGTACAAAAATTTAGTCAGATTTATTTGTGTGTGTGTGTGTCTCTGTGTGTGTGTGTTTACGTGTAATGCACACAGATATGATGATCTTTGAGAAAGGTGGGGGAAATTAACCATTTTTAAACACATAAAGTTTAACCTGATAGACAAGTTTCATGAGCTCCATAGAAATCATATCAGTGGCTTTGTTCTTACCCTTTTGCTCACCCACCTTCTATGCCAATGGTCCTTGTGAGTGCCTTGTAGTAAGTGTGCTCCTCGATGATAAATGCTAAGGATAGATTCAATAGCTGAAGAAAAAACTATTGCTAGAGAACTTAATAAATGCTGTTGGAATGACATGTATTATTCAGATCCTTGGTGCCAACTTGTCATAAAGACTTAGAGGCGGTATGCCTTGTATCTTCTAGAAGAGTGTTGCCTGTTTGAGTGAGCCAGTAGTACTCGACTGAAGCCAAGCAGGTGACATTGAACATATTCAGAAAATCTCATAGGCCCTAGGTATTTAAATAAGCCTTTTCATCTGGCCCGTATTTCTGAGGAAGAAATTAAGGTAGTTAAAAACCATTAAATGGTTGGCCCAAGATCAAAAGAGGAATGATACCAGGATTGGTCCTAGACACCAAACTATCAGTTGACACAACACTGAGACCTAATGCTTCCTTCACTGAATGGTCACAAAATATCATCCAGCCAGGATAAAAATCATTATAATTTATAGAATAAAGCAAAATGATGATTGCTATTTTTAAACAGTGACAAAGCAGCTTATATTGTTTTACATAGAAAGAATGTTGTCATTATCCTGAGGAGATCTCAAATCATCATCTAATAAAGCCTTCACACTTGCGTGTGCTGGAGTGTTTACCTGATTTCTGTTTTCCAAAATAAATTTTTAAGAAAAGTTTATAGCTATACTAGAAAGATAAAAGAAATGACTTCGGTTTGTAGATAATTTAAATCAAGCGAAATGAAGAAAGAGAAAGAGCTTCTACTTTAGAAGGCTTAGTGAAGTGTTGGAAGCCATAACTGAAAAATTCCATGCCTTTCCATAACACTAAGGACTGGTGTAGGCTCTGATTACCACAGAGCTCTTGGTCTTCATTGTTAGCAACATCAGTGACCCAGGACGGCACACTGGCCCCTCAGACATTCTGTATCAGGTCCGAGATGCAGCCTCAAGAAACACAGCTTTCATTGCTGACTGCTGCTTAGAATACTTCCAGTTGCACGCAGTTGAATTACCTATTGGAGTTTGTCCATGTCCGGAGTCCACGCTATTTTGATTTTTCACAGTGGCACCATTGTGACAGACAACAAGTAGTCCATGCGCCCCTGCGGCAGACATCTTGCGTGTCTTTTAGACTATGTGAAATTCACACAGATCTAGGTCAGGGCAATATAAATTCGCTTTTCCAAACCAGAGACATGATATGCCTTTGAAAATGAAAATGCATAAAGTCTACACCATTTATCCATGGTGTGAAAACAGGACTTGGCACCCCAGTTGTTATACCCTCTGCTTTAACCCTGAAACTTCAGGAGAAAAAGGCATGACTCCAAGTGGGTGAGAACCTTGGTTAGAATGCTATTTCCAAATGGTTGCTTCTGTAGGTACAGTTTTGGTGATGGTGGAGGCTTACGGTTCTATTTTGAAACACAGGTGGCTGGTCCCTCTAGTATGCAGGATGCATGCTTTTCTTTGGATGTGGCTGTAATCGCATGCGCAGAAATACAAAGTACCATCTTGTTGTTAAAAATAGATCTGAGCTGAATGAACAAAAAAACTTCTGTGCTTTCATTGGACCTAGAAACATGTTTTGTTTTGCAAATTTAAGAAGAAATTTCAAAGTTTAAGAATTAATGTATAACCACAGCCCCCTATAGAAATATATAATGTGAGCCATTATTGTAATTTTAAGTTTTCTGGAAGCTGCATTTTTTAAAAAAAGAGACAGGTAGAATTAATTTTAGTAATATAATTTAACCCAATATACCTAGAATATTATTGTATCAATATCTAATAAAAATAATAATTACTAATGTGATGTTACATTCTAAGTCTTTGAAACTCAGTATACATTTCAGGTGCTCAATACACACATGGGGCTACTGGCTACCATATTGGACAACAAAGAATCAGAACAATAGTGATTATTATTTTAATGTTTAACTTCTATTATAAAATACATTTCCATGTTTTATATATATATATACACATATATATGTATTTTTGTTATATGTGTGTGTGTGTATATATATATATATATATATATATATATATATATATATATATATATATGGATATGTAGTCTACAAGATGCCATCAGCCCAAAACTACAAATAATGCTTTGGTTTTAATTGCCACTGTGCATTATTTCTTTTTTTCATTATTGTCCATGATGGAGTATTTTTAGACAGCTTTTTCCTAATCACACTTTTTTGTGAAGCTTCTCACACATATACCATATCCTGGTATATCTTTGGAGAGGCTCAAACCATTGTAATGTCAAAGAATATTTTTCCCCAGAAGGGTTCATTTTTGTCCCCTTTAGTACATATCACCCCTATTGGGAACGGATGCTGGAGTGCTTTCTTTCAGTCCCATACCAGTGAAATAAGTCAGTGCTACTGGCTTAAGTTATTACTTACCCCAGAAAAGGAAGAAGGTTGATCATCATCCCCACATTGTTTCCTACCTTATATAGTCCAGCTTCAGATTATTTTTTTACATAGAAAGGAATTCACCTTCTTCCTCTCCCATAGACAAAAAGCCTTGGACTTAGGAAGTTTATCATTTTTTAAATTTTGTTTCTGAGAGGTGAACCCTAAGGAGTGTTGTGGTTAAAAATTGCTTTCCATAAGCCACGGAGGATTGCTCCGTGCTCAACTTGCTTCCCCAGATGCTGATGTTGGTCATGCTGTTCCAGAATAAATACTAAACTACTTAAGAAATCTCAGCATGTGCTTTTATAAACTTCAAAATCCAGTTCAGATCTATTTCTCTACGATCTTGACAATACGATATCGATGCTACCAAGCCTTCAAATACGATCATGCCTCCCTTGAGTTCCCTCCCTTGAATGTGGGTGACCCACACGTCTTTGTGTGTTCTGCTGCTTTATTGAGACAAGAGTTATGACTTCTCTCCATTCCTTCCCCTTCTCTCCTCTGTCCCTCCCTCTGTCAACACACAGCACAACATGCCCTTTTGGAGGATATCAAGTCACTCAGACCTCTTGGCTCTGCATCAAGCACTGGAATTAGAGTATTTGTAACTGTGTTCTCTAGCTGGAGATCCATTTTTTTTATATATATATATTTCAAGTACACTGAATTTTTATGTGTGATTCAATGCCCCTGGCTTTACACATATAAATTGTCTTAAAGGATGAAATCGTATTTGGAATGAAAATTCCAGAATGAAGAATTCAGATTGCTGAATGGAGTTAAACTTTAGCACTACAGAAAGGAAGCTCTATGGTCTTATATTTACAACACTTTAATGGTTTTAAAAAATAAAAAATCTGTGGAGGTTGCTGGTACACATCGAGTGAGTCCTAACTGGAATTAACAGCTTTAGCAAAGACCTCTTACCCTGGCAAAGCACCCAACACAGGCTCCGTCTGACAAGGTGGTGTTCAACAACATTCCTCAACACGGGAGATCTTCTCAGCCCTGAGGTTTGAATCTGACTTTAGCCGACCTAGCCCAGAAAATCTGAATTGGAATGCACTCAGACTGTATAAGGACAATCCTATCTAGACCTGTAATTTGTGTAAATTATGGATGAAAATAATTTACTGTGACTTTATTAGCAGCTGACTTTGAAAGTGGATGCAATTTTTCTTTTCATTTGTTGGGGAGGGAAGCGGGTGGGCAGTGGGAGTCTAATAATGTCTCTTTTTTTAAGTTTGGCAAACAAAATGTTCATACTGATGTGTTGTGCCTTAAAGACAAGACGGCGTTTGTGTGTTACAATGTAACTTTGGTTAAAATCTCTGTAGATAATGAAAAACAAAAACAACAGCAACAACAACAACAAAAAAACCCTTTGTGATCATTCTTAAGATGACCAAATTTAAAATTCAAGCTATCAAAGCTTAATACTGCATCAGCAAGAATCTGAGTATTTGTTGCAATAAGAAAACAATGATAATAAAGGAAAGCTTGTGTTTTATTTGGGTTCTTAATAATTCCAGTAGTTATATGAGGCAACTATTTGTGCATCCAACCATAAGCAGGAGGTTATGGGAAGGTTTGGGAAAGACTGTGGGACCTTTACTTAAAAGTGAAATGTATGTTGAAGTCTCGAGTACCCCTTTCTGCAGTTCTTCTGGAGAAAACTAAGAGCCATATTCATGACTACTTACACTATTTTGAGTTTGACTTCTTGATATGTGTAAGTTGTGTCGAGGAAGATAGTCTCATTAAAATCATAAGCAAATAGCCCCCAAACTTTCTTAGGCTATTCCATGAACATGGCTTGAAATTCACATTGAGTGAGCATGGCTTAAAATAAAGCTAAGCGCATTCATTCCCAGTGCCATCGTGAAAATGAAATGTCATCAGTGGTGGAAGGTGAATGCCCAGATGCCTTCTAAAGAAAGGAGTGAATCAATGAAAATTTTACCTAGAATATCATCATAAAATATATTGGCAAGCGAGCCAGATCTTGGCAGCAATACTGAAAATTACAACAGTGAAATAGTATCTGGTTCTCCGTCTGAATGCGTCAGTCCAGTTTCTCTCCCTTAGAGACCCACGCACCTTCATTTCTGCCCGCACTGTTCCTGAACAATGGACTGCATTCATTGCAAGGAGAACCTGTCATCGTTGTGTGTGCATGCGTGTTTTTTTCTTGGTGTGTAGCCCATGTTAGGAACACGATACAGGTTCTCCTGTCATTTTGTATGACATGAAATTTCCCTTGTGGAAATTTAAGACTTCAAGATCTATGAGTGTTTTAATGGTGTTTGCACCTGCAGTTCTGTGTTTAAAATGTGGAGGCTGGAATCCAGCTAGTAGGCAGAGCCCCTAACCAGAGGCTGATCCATGATAGCTCATCATCTGAGGCTTCCGTGGCTCCTGTAGGATCAGTGCTTTGCACACCGATCACAACATTCACTATGGAAATGAGGTTTTATTTTCCAGGTTGTAAACCTGTATTTCTTTACTGAATGCTAAGACCATATTTACATTGGGCAGAAAGAGCTTGAGATCCAATTTTGCAGATTTTAAGACTGTGATTTCATCACACAAACCTTAAACTTATTCTTTAAATTTTGTAACTTTTGGCTCTCTCTGCCCCAAGTACTGGTGCAGACAAATTAAGGTTGCAATACCTTTAGTAATAATGATAATGATCATCATCATCATCATCATCATCTTACATTTCTATCGGCCTTAACTTGAAAATAGGAGTTGAAAAAAATCAAAGAGCTGCACTGATTATCAATACTTAAATTTTGTGCACTAATACCTTAAATATTTATTACTGTGAATAAAACGATATTATCTTTCTAGCCAGTTTTTTTAAATGATAGAGCTGTGGCATTACATCTAGACTTTTAATTCTTCTTCATATCAAACAAGCAAGGCTTCTAATGTTGCTAAAAACCCTGCAGGTACAGAACAGAACACCCCTTCACAGGCAAAGGAAGGGTCACCGATGACCTCACCCAGTGCTATTTCTCGCATACATTCTCCCCCCTGATTGTGTGTTCAGAAGACGCTGCCGGCATAAAATCTAGATGCTAGGTTAACGAACAGCTTGATGGCACGGCAATGGCGGGGGCCCCTGTGGGCGACCTCACAGCTTGTCGTGCAGTTTCAAGCGTGCTCAAACCAGAACCCTGCCTTTCCTATGCTGGGAACGGAGATCTTCTTCCTTTCTGATCTAAAAAAACCAAAAAGACAAAAACAAACAAACAAACAAAAGCCAACAAACAGAAAGAACAACCCCTTTGGCAGCTCCCACTTTCTGTTGACATAGACTGTTGTCCCTTTTTATAAACCAATTTGAAAAGTGTTCCGTCGCTGAAATGAGTTTGCGGCTATTACATGTACAAACTTGGTCTGCCACTAGGAAGGGTAACCACCTTGTGTCACACCTGAAAAATAGCAAAGCAGGCGGCCTGGCTACAATATTATGGCATACTCTACCCCTACAAAAGTTTGTTAAGTCAAATTCAGAGGCAAAAAAAAAAAAAAAAAAAAAAAATTTAGAATCATGCAGTTTGTGCACAAAAAAGTGGATAACTCTAAAAATGTTTTTTTCCTTAGTCCCTGGTGAGTGGAGATTCAAAATAGTGTCAACAGCATGCTGCAGTTTGAAGTTGTTATCTTTTTAAGCACATTTTTTTTTTGAAGAGCCTACATTCTCAGTGAATATGGCATTTAGTATTTCTTTCAAAAACAAATTTAAGCATCATGAGCCAAAGTTGCATTTTGACTCCCAACTATGGTAGCATTATGGAAATCTCACAAAGTCAAGGGTTTCTGTTATGTATTAGTAAAGTATAGATTATTGGGGCCGATATAATTTAAAGAAATGTAAATTAATAATAAAAGCTTGTAAAAATATGTACATCTTTACTATTTCTCAATAAATACCTTTGGAAATGTTTTCATTTTCTTCACCCTCCCATGTTGTAGAGTTTTTGTTGTGTGGACTTAGCTCAGTTCTAAAGTGAAATTTATATTTAAGCTTCCTGATGTATTCTTACCTTCCCTTGCTTATACCTAGATGTCATTTGCAGTTAAGGTGAGTGAGATGTAACATGACAGAATGTCCTTCATCAAGACTACAAGTGGGCTGGTGTGCCGAAAGGATGTGAGTTGCATTGGTTTGACATAGGAACAGTTACATTCAAGCGTAATGCAGAAAGGAGTTGCAGTTCATTAATGACAACATAATACCTTTTAGAACATTTAAAGCAATGTTTTTTTTAGATGAATATGTTCCCAGTTTATAAGTAGCTTCCAAGAGTGATAAAAGGAGTGTTGTTCTTGAATAGTTTTTTTAAAAATCCTTTTATCTAAATTCAAGTTAGTTAACACATAGTGTATTATTAGTTTCATGGGTAGAATTTAGTGATTCATCAGTGCTTAATACATCAAGCACCCTCCTTCGTGCCCATCACCCAGTTACCCCATCCCCTATCCCCTTCTCCTCCAGCAACCCTCAGTTTGTTTCCCAGAGTTCAGTGTCTCTTTATCTTTCTCTGACTGACTCATTTCACTCAGCATAGTTCCCTCTAGTTCCATCCATGTTGTTGCAAATGGCACAATTTCATTCTTTTTGATGGCTGAGTAATATTTCATTGTCTTAAATAGCTTTTTTTTTTTAAAGATTTTATTTATTTATTTGATAGAGACAGTGACAGAGATAGCAAGAGAGAGCACAAGCAGGGAGAGAAGCAAAGGGAGAGGGAGAAGTAGGCTCCCCATGGAGCAGGGAAACCGACATGGGGCTCGATCCCAGGACCCCAAGACCATGACCTGAGCCGAAGGCAGATGCTTAACCGACCGAGCCACCCGGGCACCCCTTAAATAGCTTTTAACAGCTTTGTTACCTTGTGTATGGTATTGATTTATTCACAGATCTGTTGTTCAGATGCAAACCAAAGGGGAATTTCTGACAACCTCATTCATAACTTTTTAAAAGGTTCACCTCAAAATTGAGTATGTCCCACATGTTCCCCCAGCATTATATCATTTCCCTCCTTTACTGTTAAATAATACTTAATCCCTAGATTTACAGTTACCCAGCATGGCACATACTTTTGTTTATCCTTTGTACTGGATGACTTCCACACTAGGATGTGTACCCTGTGAGGACAGGGATTTTTGTCTTATTTTGTTTTGTTCACTTCTATATAGCCAGTATCTAGGAGAGTATGTGGCATGTAGTAGATACCCCCAAATAATATTTGCTGAAGGAATGTATAAACCATAGGAAAACTTGTATGATCATGGTCTGGAATTAAAAAGATTTTAAAAAGTTGAGCTAGATTTTTTTAAAAAAGAGAAAACATGCAGGTAAGTTTGGGTGGAACTAATGTAAATTTTTACAACTTAGCTGGAGTGTCTGCTGGTCTAATAATTCATGAAAATAAAGAGCAAGGATGGTCATAAGTAAAGACGTATTTGGAAATAGAGTTACATGTGAACTGAGAATAATCTGGAAAAGAAAAAATAAGTTTGCAATGAATCAGTAATTGATTCCTCTGCCCCCATTACTCTTTTATTAAATAATAATAATATGCAACACCAGTAGCTTTAGTTGATTTAAATTATTTAAAGCCGCAAAATATCACATAAAAATTAGATCTATTTGCAAAGACTGTGGTTTGTGATTCTGAGATCCAGGAATAAGAAAAGAAAGAGGAATGTGTGATTTCCCTTAGCTAGCAAAAGATAACCATTATTTCACATCTGTTCAGGATATACATTTTTAAAAAATAGTTATTGAATATAGTAGTATAAAAGAATATATATTCTCATTCATGGGTCACCACTCAAAAACCTCAAAAAATCTGACCAAGCCAAAGTCAATTCTGGCAATTTACTCTAGTAAACTAGATGCTTTCTCACAGCACCAAGGGGAAAACTTCTCAAGTTCTGATTTTAAATGCCTGTCCCTCATCCAGAGAACCTTCCAGAATTGTGTTAGCACACAATTTGAAAAATGTTCAAACACAATGTGCTAATACCTGACAAAGCAGATAACTCTATACGAGCCAGAATATTCTCTTCCCTCCCCATAAGATACTTTTTTTTTTTTTTTTTTTTTTTGAGAGAGAGCTGAAGGAGAGGAAGAGAGAATCTTAAGCAAGTTCCACGCCCAGCTCGGAGCCCGACACGAGGCTCAGTCTCACGACCCTGAGATCATAACCTGAGCTGAAATCAAGAGTTGGACGCTTAACCAACTGAGCCACCCAGGTGCCCCACCCCAATAAAATACTTTTTGATTGGGGCTTGTGGGAACACTCTCGGTGCCTAAAGGGTAACGTGTTGTCTTTGTAGTCATAAAATAGATTTTTGTGCCTTGTGGCTGCAATGATGATGTCAATCTAGTTCTCTGTGAAGCCTTCAGTGAAAACACACAGAATTGAATGAGAGTGTGTGTTGGAGAAGTTGGAGGAACCATCAATTAAATCAGTCTCCACAGAACCATGGGCACAGCTGACTCTGAACTCATCACACTCTTGATCCTCAAGCTCTTTGGCGGTTAGGTAGGGGTGAATCTGAAGACAGAGTGTGAAAGGGGTTACCATGAGTATCACATGGCCATGGTGAATAGTTTGCAGAGGCACTTAAGCAGTCCTCAAAGGGAAGATTCCTGGAGAAAATGATTTCCAAGCTAGACCTCCAAGGACAAAACGGAGAAGACCGGGGATTGGAAGCATCTAGACAAAGCGGAAAATAAATGAGTGTTCAGGTAAGAGAGAAAAGTAGAATGGTGTGGTCAGGGAACCTACTACAAATAATTACTATTTCTGGAACACAGGGTGAAGAGAGGGAATAGTAAGAAATGAGTCTGGAAAATAAGCAAGGGTCAGATCATGAGGATTTCAATATTCCATCTGATTTGATTTTCAATACATGTTTTGATTTTATTATGGGATCAGTAGGTGTCAAATGAAAGGCTTGTAAACAGAGGGTGCAGGTGTCCAGATTTGCACTGGACAATAGTGACTCTGGCCCCACAGTGGAGAATGGAGGATCTGTGAGGCTGGCACGGGGTCCCAAAGAGTTACTGATAGATTCCTGAGTTAGGTGATGGCCACGAATGTGGAGACAGGGACACAGATTTAAAGAGATTAAGATGCTAAGAATAATTAGCATTTAGTATTTGTTCAGGCTTCTCCTAATGCCCTCAGGCAAATCCCACCTTACCTCTGGGTTTCTGGGAAAAATTTGGGAAATTTTGTAGATGCAGTGCCCAAGATATAGGTGTGGGGCCATTCACAGAGATCAGAAACACAAAAGAGAAAAGGATTCTGGTAGCCATTTCCATTGCGGTTGGTGGTGCTAGTTATTGGAGGAAGATACTGAGTCCAGTGGTTGGAAGTGTTACGTGGGAGGTGGTGGTGGACCTCGAAGTAGAGTTGTCCAGTGGGATGGTGAGCTTGCAGTGACTTTCTGGCTGGTTATTAAACACCTTGTCAAGTCATAATGGAATTATTCTGAAAGCTGTCAATAAAATCCTAAATAATTTTATCAGATCATATTAATTAGTCATTTAAACAAGATTTGCTATTTGTGCTACCTTGAGAGAGCATTAGTGAAAGCTAGAAATGATGGCAGGAATGGAGAATGTGTATGTACAGCGTACACCATGGAAAATTATTTGGGGTTACCAGTTGACTTATCCTGCTCTCCTGTCTCTTGCTTTACCCTAATTTCCTGTAAAGATAAAGTAATACTGTATCTGGATTTACAACTCTGAAGGACTTCAAATGCCTCTGTGACCTTTTCGTCACTCACTTGTACAAGTCATCGCCAGCTTATGTCTGCTTGGAAACAAACATGACATTTCTAATTTATTTGCCAAACAGTGAAGACCTAATGGAGAAGGAGCTCTACAACAGGATGACAAGTGATTTAGTCACTTCTTCTTTGACAGATTTATGTACTCCAAAAAAATACAGCTTTCATTAAATTATATGTTATGGTGGGATAAACTATTGTCATGAAAGTGGACAGTAATAATGTGTATGTGAATAGAAATTAAAAACCATCTTATTTAGCTCGTGAAATTATATCTACATCAATTATGGAAACAGCAGGGGATGAGGTGGAGGAGACATTAGAGAGGGTTCTGGAAAAAAGGTAGTATAACACATCATTTTTTAAACTTGCATTTAAAGTTTTACAAATGACCAGTGTATTTTCCAAATGTTGAGGACCAGCTGCTATCCTAAATAAAATCTACTACCACTGATTATGACCAGTTCTGGCAGTATATGTTGTCACCATGCTTGGCTCAAGAACTGAATTGGTTTTGGGGCACCTGGGTGGCTCAGTCGTTAAGCGTATGTCTTTGGCTCGGGTCTTGATCCCAGGGTCCTGGGATTGAGCCCCGAGTCGGGCTCCCTGCTCGATGGGAAGCCTGCTTCTCCCTCTCCCACTCCCCCTGCTTGTGTTCCCTCTCTCACTGTGTTTCTCTCTGTCAAATAAATAAAATCTTAAAAAAAAAAAAAAAAAAAGGATTGGTTCTTAAGAAAAGAGAACATTATTCTTCTGTCTATCCAAAACAGGGAGATTCATTCATGTACCTCCATTATCTCTGTGAAGCCTGTATTATGGTTGTTGTGGTTTTACTCATCTGACCTTGGCAGAGACAGACCCAGGTAGAGACAGCTGGTACCATTGAAGCAAGGTGAGGAATTCCCGGGATCATGCAGGAGGTGGCCAGGCTTTGATTTAATCAGTAGGTTTGGAGGCAGCTCTGAAGTGAGTGTGCAGAAGGAGGAAGAGGAAGGAAACTAACATTTGAAGAGACTTAATGAGCCAGGAGCTTACCATATCTTACCTCATTTAGTTATCACATCCCTGAGAGCTGGTATCGTTAGTCCTCTTATATCGTTAAAGTGACCCCCCAAAGTCCTGTGACTTGTGGGTGGCACAA